GGTGGGGGGGTGAAGCATCTGGACTAGAAGGTGTTTCTCTTCACTCTCATGCCCAGAGCCCTCCCTCGGGCTTCCTGGAGCCCACAGTGATTTTCAAGGCAGGAAACTTTCCAGAGAAAGAAAAAAAGTGAAACTGCACATTTAAAAAAATAATAAAGTTTTATCATTAGAAGATCCATTTTTTCTCCTGTCTACAAATCAGTGAGCACCTGCTGACAGCTAAGGCTCTTTCCAACGATGTACTTTCAGATGATGGGTCGTGTCCTCCATCGGCCCTTCCACCGACCCATTTGCCTTTGGCTTTGGAGGAGTTGCGTCACACCTGGCTCCCCACTCCTGCTCACTCCACCTCCGCGTGGACACCCCCAAGCCATCACTTTATCCCCACAGCGGATAGTGATGGTGATGGTTCATTTATGTCATACATGAGCCCAGGCCCTTCGACCACCTCCTTCTGAAGTTAGCACCAGGCTTGGCATGCAACGCTGCTTGTTGTTTGAGGCCATGTCGCCATTCCAAGTGACGGCAGCCCCGTGTCTGCAAAGCAGGGCTCTCGAGGCTGGGTGGCCTACCAGAAGCAGCTCATCAGGCCTGACTTCAGAGCCATCTCCAAGTGGGTTTGAACTGCCAGCCTTTTGGTTAGTAGTTCATTGGCCCCACCCAGGGACTCCTGTGTAACAACTTTATGCTGTTGACTGAATGGCCAACGGAGCAAACTCAGACTCACACAGATTAATTCTCCAAAAGTCACAAACTAAAGTACGATATCCTGGATTTTTTTCAACGTAGAAAACGTGCCACACCTATAATAATTAAGGAAACATTAAGTGATAACTACTCATTATCTCCCTCCTTAGAGATCACCAGGTGATAAGTACTTTAGATTTCCTGCCTCTCAGCCCCTTCTCAGGACATCGTTCAGATGATGTGTTTGTGTGTTGAATGGAATCAGACCAAAGATAACATGTTGCAAAAGGCAACTTTAAAATTCTGTTCCATGCAGCGTGGGCAAAGAACACAAACATCTGTCATCAAGTTGAAAGAATGGGACAAGGTGAAGACTTGTGCCATGGGAAGGAAAGAGGGGTTCATTCTTCGAAACGTGCCATTCTCTGCCCGCCACCCGCTTCACTCCCAGGCCCCACCTGCAGTACAAATGTGTTCATCATTCCTTAGCTTGGCTTTCTGAATTTTTATTGCATGTGTGCATATTCCTAAACAATATTTCATCTAATTTTGCATGTTTTGCACTTTATATGCTCAAGCGGCAGGTGTTCTTCTGGGGCTCACTCTCGGCTCACCGTTGTATTTCTGATGCATGTTTCATGGTGTGCCTCTACCCCCTTTGTCCTCTGTCCTGGCGTTGTTCATAAGGGTCATTGCCATCTTTTGTTCTGGTGTGTGTTATTAAAACAAAGCACGTTCTTGTACAACAGCTCCTGGTGCATATATGCAAGTGTCTCTACAGGCTCTGTACCTAGGAAGAGATTGGCTGGTTTTCAATGAAAAAAAAATTGCTTTTTTCTTTAAAGATTTTTCCATGCCAACAAACCTGCCCTTTTGCAAAGTTCATTTTGGTGGTAGATCCACGTTTTCACGTGTAGGTGTGGGCTTCTCTCCCCAGCCATGGCTGTCTTTATTAAGCCGTGTCAGGGCACGCTGGCAAGCTGCACGTGTTCTCCTCCTAATCATGCTGAGGATCAGGTTGGAGGTGGTGGGAGGTCCGGGAGGGGACCCTGGGACCCTGAGGAGTTGCGGCAGTCTATGTGGACTGTACCTGTTCAGCCTGTAAACCTGACTGCCTTTGTTGGACAGAACAGATTCCTAACTGGGATTCTAGCCGCAAGCTCACCAGGTTCATCTTGTCCTTGCTCAGTATGTAGGGAGTTTGAACTAACAGAGTGTGTGTGTGTTTCTCTTCTAGGTCGTCTTTAATCATCTTTCTTCTCCACCTCCGGACAAGGACCCGGATCAAGGTATGAAATTGGCAAGCTCTGGCTTCCTGTGCCTTCTCCCCCAGGCAGCCCTTTGTAGTGTCCGAACAAGAGGGCTGCTGGGAGAAGTCTGCCCTGGCTAACAAGGCATGGGTGGGAGAAGGCTGGGAGAGTAAACAGCTAGACACTTGGCTTAACTCTGTGCCTGAATCCACTTTTCCCCATGGGGTCCTCCTGGAACCAAGCACAATATCTTTTTTTTTCCCCCCCTGGGTAATTTTGTCAAGGTAAATTTTAAAAATCATTTTATTAGGGGCTCATACAACTCTTATCACAATCCATACATACATCAATTGTGTAAAGCACATTTGTACATCCATTGCCCTCATCATTCTCAAAATATTTGCTCTCCGGAAGCACAGTATCTTTTCTTGTGACTGAGCTTTGATAGGATTTTTTGAAAAGACCTGTCTGCTGTCAAAGAGAGCAAAAAAGGGAAAAGCTATAGAAAATATAAACATCATCATAAAAACTCCTAACTCCCTACCTCAAAAGGGTGGAACCAACTGCTAGGTATCCTTAGCGCCCAGCCTCAGATCTGCTCCATGTGGAAGATGCCATCTTGCCTCCTCACCCTGTCCCAGCCCGCCTTCAAATGGTCACCTGTCAACCCTCTAACTACCTACCCTAGCCTTGCATCTCCCCATCTCCCCATGCCTGTCAACCCAATGAATGACCTTGCTTTTTCTGAGGCCAAACGAGACCCAGACCACTCAGAGGCCACTCGCATCACATTCTGAGGGCTTTGTCCAACATTGTTCAGCATTGACTTACAGAAGAGCAGAATTCCATCTGTTGACTCCCCCAGCATCCTAATAGCCTCACTTACACACAGCAACAGGAAGGCTCTGTCTCAAGAGCCAAGGCCTCGTTCATTAACTTGCACACACAATATGCACTGTGCACGACAAGACTAGGCGTCTGGATGTGCTGAAGAAGATGCAGATGAGTCTGATAGGGCTCCCCCTCTGAAGGAGCTCAGTCTCATGAGCCAAGAGCTGTAGCCCAGTTGGTGACCTCCCTCAGGTCATTTCCCTTATCCTGTTGGCGATTGCACTCACTCCCACCACGGTGATCCCTCACTTCCTGGTTCACCTCTCCAGAAAGGGAGCCCAAGGTAAAGGAAATAACTAATATCATTTAGAGCAAGAACGTGAACCTTCGAACCAGGGTCATCTTCGAACCACTGTCATCTACTCCAGCCCCATCCTTGATACAGAGGGAGGGGACTAGCCGGGGTTATCCCATCCTTCCGTGACAACGCTGAGCCATCTCCTCCTCAGGGAGTTCAATGATATCCAGATAGCCTGGTCCAGGTGGGTCCTTTGGGTTCCCAGAGCTAGGCAGAGGTGCCCCCCTCATTAGCTATGGTCATGCGAAAGGCTGTATACCAAGCTCCAAGGGCTTGCCACCTGGTTCAGAGCATCACCAACAAGTCAGAGGGCCAGACAGGGTCAGGGGAGTGGTCAGCCCCAGGCACTCAGAGGGGCACTCCGGGAACCAACTGCTGGAGAAGGTTAGGACTGATGTTGTCGGAGCACAAGATGATGCCCCTTCGGGATGAAGGTAGGTGGGGCCAATGAAACTCCAAGTGCTCTGCCAAAGGGTCAATGCTGCCTCACCGTGCCCCCTGAGGCAGAACAGAACTGCCTCTTTGGGTTTCCAAGGTTACAGATACACCTTTACAGGAGCAGAATAGATACACCTTTACAGGATAGATAGATATACACCTTTACAGGAGCAGAAAGCCTCCTCTTTCTCCGGCCAAGTGGCTGGTGGGCTTGAGTTTCCCACCTTGTGGTTGGCAGCTCAATGCATAATCCACGAGGCCCCAGGGGTACTCTCATGGGACCTCCAGGCCCCACCTGCACTGGGAGGTTAGGACTAAAGCTGTCCGGTTACCAGGACACTGCCCCTTCGTAAGTTGGGCAGAAAAGGAGAGGCTCGCTGGCCCCGGAGGCAGGGTAAAGGGCAAGGACCGGACACTGTGTCCCTCCCTGGAGTCTGCAGCCGTCAGAGGCTTAGCCACGCTGGAGGAGCGCAGCTGGTCACCGCAGATCTTCTGGCTGGCTGTCCAGGCCAGGGTTCAGGGGGTCTAGGTGGGATTCAGAGTACCGTCAGGGTGGGCGCTGAAGAGCAGTCAGCCTGCCTGCCAGCAGTTGCCTCTTGAGCACCTGTGAAGGAGCAGGTTCACTGTGGCTGCCACTCAGTTCCTGCTTAACCCCAACTCTCCTGGGAGACCGAAGGGGACTCACGACATGAACTTAGCCCTCCCCTTGCTATCCTCATGGCAGTCGGCCCAAGCAGTAGCCACCTTTCCCTTGTGCCTCTAGAGAACCATTTTGTGGTGGCTCTGTATGATTACGACGGGGTGAACGACCGGGACCTGCAGATGCGGAAGGGAGAGAAGCTGCAGATCCTGAGCGAGTAAGTTTCCAGAACATCACCCTTGGTCAGAGGTCCTCACGGCCACCGGTCTCAGCAGGACCCCCACAAGGCCATCCTTATCCACCCGCTCCCCGGCCGACTCCACAATGTCCTTGTCCTGCTCCTCAGCCGGTTAGCCAGCACTTTCTTAAACGTGACCTAGCTGGCTTCCTTCCAAACTCTTCTGGTGAGGTGGTGTCCATCCACTCCCTCCCGCTCTGCTGTCCACCTGCCATTCCTCCTCCCAAACCCCCTTCGGTTGTCACTGCCTCCACGCAGACCTCCGGGCTCCCTCGGGCAGAGCTTTGTGGGTGTTGGGTGCCACTGGGCTGGTTCCAACTCTGAGTAGAATGAAACACTGTCCCGTCCCGTACCCATCCTCACAACCGTTTTATGTCCCAGCCTACTGCGGCAGCCACTGCGTCCATCTCTCTGGTGGAGGGCCTTCCTCTTGCTCAGGGACCCTCTACTTCACCAAGCAGGATGCCCTTTCTGGGCACTGCTGTCTCCTCATAATATGTCCAAAGTATGGAGACGAAGTCTGGCCATCCTTGCTTTCTAAGGAGCATTGGTAGCTGCACTTTTATCCCAAGACAGATTTGTTTGGTCTTCGGGCAGTCCATGATTCAAATGCCTCGATTCTTCTCCCAGGCAGTGTGAGCTTCTCCCACATCAGTTCCCATGGCACAGCTGGGTCCGCGTGCCTCACGTTCACAGGGCAGAGCTATCACAAAGGATTCCGTGGGTGAGGTTAGCTTATTCCCAGTGTTCTTTCTCAGGAGCTCCACTGGCATCTGATCGAGCTCAGACTTTGTTGGTCTTGTCCTTGGTGCATGGAGGCTCAATTTTATTTTGAAGCCCTGCAGTAGCCTGGAGCCAAACACATGAAAAAACCTGCCCTTTTGATCACACTGCCCGGGTCCTCCTGCTTTGGTCCCTCCCAAGCCAGTCCCGACACAGTCACTGAGTTCTAAACAGTATCTCCAGTGTGCATCCCATTTATCAAGAGAAGGCCTGCACACTGGAAGATGAGGGCTTCTTGGGTCTGTCAGACTGCGTGGATAAGCTCTTCTCTCGGGAGATGGCATCACCCCCTCCTGACCCGGACTAGGGGTGCCTTCAGCCCGGGGATGCTCGTTACATGGAAAGAGCCCAGCAGTCAGCCGCTGCACAGAGAGCAGCTTGCACAAGCGACTTTGCAGCCGCCAGACCTTTTCTGTGACTGTGCCCCAGAGCTGAGCTCCCACAAAGAAGGGCCGTGAGCCGTGCCGGGAAAGGCCCTTCATCTTGTTCCTGTGTCCTGCTTCCTCCCCTTTAGAAGTGGAGATTGGTGGCTGGCCAGATCACTCATCACCGGAAGAGAAGGCTACGTTCCCAGCAACTTCGTGGTCCGCGTAGAGACCCTGGAGGTGGAAAAGTAGGTGGACAAGCTTGAGGCTCCCTCGAAGCAGAGACCGCCGCCTCCACCGTGGCCCTTGCTCTGGAGTAGCTCATAGGGGTGGGATCCAAAGTGGGCCCCAAAGTCAGCCTCCGTGAGCCCCGTGGGGGGGGAGCAGCGATGAGGCAGAGGAGAAACTGCTGGGAAAGGAGTGGGTTAGAATCACTGGAAGACAGGACAGAGCCCCTTCCTGTGCTCCACCTCCCTCTTCCCCTCGGTCACTGGAGACCCCTGATGGTCCCCGTGTAACCAGCTGCTATTGAACTGAGTCTGACTCATGGTGACCCAAGGTTTCCAATGGCAGAGCCGTCAGAAGTAGATCACCAGGACTTTCTTTGGAGGTGCCTCTGGGTGGACACAAACCTACAACCTTCCAGTTGACATGCAGGCACTTGGGATGGTTGAGCGTCGATGGTGGGCAGTGCGATCAGCAAATGCTGTTCCAAGGCCCGCAGCGATGGCTGCCGTGGGGAGGGGTCCTTGTCCACTGGCTCCCAGCCCACCCTGTGCCATGGTCCAGCCCTTCCCCAGGGCGGTGTGTGGGACAGCTGGAGCTGCCACCCTGAGGAGTCTCCTGCCACCTGGGTGCCCTGCGAGAGCCCTGGAGTGGGTCCCTGCTCTGACGATCTCTCTGGCAGTTCCATCCATCTCAGTGGCTCAACCCCCAGGAGGGGACCCCAGTGCTTTGTGGGGAAGATGGCCAGGGGCCCTGTTCGGGAGCAAAAGGAACAGATAACACTTCCAGCATGGTTCTCCTTCTCTTTAAAGCAAGCAGTAGACCCACTGACACGGGCAGGGGAGGGAAGGGGCTGGGGGGACCAGGTATGCACTTATCTTACTAAGATGTGGGGCGTCGTTGCTCAGAAACAAGAGGGCTGCCCTGCTGGGGGCAGAGGTGCCGCTCAGGAGGGAGGTCTGGCTAAGAACGCTCCAGGGCGCACGGCTGCCAGCGGAGGCCTGTCTGCCTTTTCCCTTCGCTAGGTGGTTCTTCAGATCAATCAGCAGGAAAGATGCGGAGAGGCGGCTTCTGGCGCCAATCAATAAGGCCGGCTCCTTCCTTATAAGAGAGAGTGAAACAAATATGGGTAAGTGTGAGTGGCCCATCTCCTTTCACTGTGTCCCCCAGGAAGCCTGGTTTCGGGATTGGGAGGGAAAGCCAGTCCAGGGAAGCTGGACGATTCTGGCCCTGTCTCCTTCGCAACCGAGGCCCTGCACAGACAGCCCAGTGATGCCCTCTAGTGGACTTGGTTTTTCCAAGAACATGGTTCTCCCAGTCACCAAGACAAGGCACTTTTTGCCCTGCACCCCTTGGTATGGGAGTGGCAGGCATGGTCACTGCTGCCCAGTGACCCTCAGTCACCAGCCTCATTTTCAAGTCAAAAGATTTCAGCGCCGAAAGAATCCTTAGACGTTACCACAGCCTGAGCCTGCGACCTCAGAGGCTGCGGGAACCTGGGAGTGACATCAGTTGGGGCAGGCCTTGCTGTTGGATTTTTTTTCTTAAGTGAAGGTGGCCCTTGTGGAGACCAGCCTTTCTGTGGGAGAACGAGGGGGCAGTGTGCCTCTAGCAATCCTACGGGACAGTTCTCCTCTGTCCTGTCAGACCATTCCCCCCAGAACTAGCGCTACAGCCATGGGCTGAGCTGAGCAGTGGTGGAGAGTGGGGGATTCATAAACCCAGGCTCAGAGCACACATCAATTCAGATCCACCGACTTAGCAAATCTACGTGTGTATTTTCAGCCCACATGTTTTTATTCTCTCTTGATTCCTTTTCTTCTTAATGTTCTTTCGGCTGTGAGTTATGGACATCATATAAAATAGAAATGAGTGCATCGCTACAAGGGGAAGTATAAAGTAGTGACAAGCGAGCCCGGTGCCGCCGCAGCCTGTCAGAGCGCGGGAACACGCCCGGCCTCCTCTCCTCCACTCATGCCCTTTCCCGACCCCACTGTTCCCTCTGTTTTCTCTCTGCTTGCTGGCTTTGGGCAGCTGGAGCCGGACGCCCTTTACTCTGTGTGTGTATCTCGGCCACGTGCATTGAGTACATTGCCAGCTCGTCCACGTTCCTTGCTGTGTAGAATCCATGCAGGAAGATCCCACAAGTTGCTGCATCCATGCTACTGGTGCCAGGCCTTGGAATACATCCGTAGCAGAGCTAGTCAGAGCAGGCTGCACCACAAAGCGTATGGCATACGTCTCCCGGTGCACATTCACCCCTCAGCGTAGACCTCGGAGATGCTAGGTCAGCACCCCCAAGTGAAAGATGAGGAATCAGAGACCCACAAAGAGGAGTGGCTCACCCAAAGCCCAGCGTGAGTAAGCATCTGAGCCCCCAGCATCAGTGGGACACTCGTCCAGCAGGCCCAGAATCCTCACCAGCTCTCAATATAGCAAGCTGGCTCATCCTGGGACGACTGAGGGGAAGCTCTCAAGCAGGATGAGGAAGCTTATTGCCCTTAGGGCACCCCAAGTGGGGCCCGCTACATCCTCATCCGTGGCCCATGTTGAACTTGGATGGAGTACGGAATGGGTGGTCATGACATTGGAGGAGTTGGGGGGCTAGACCGTAAGTTGGGGGCAATTCGGACGGGTAGAGGTTTTGGGTGTGAGGAACCACCCACCAGTGGGTCCCTGGGCTTCGTTCATGGCTGAACACCTTCGATGAGCAGGAAATACCAGGCTAGCAACAAGTGGGATGGAGAGAAATACTTATAACATCCTGAGACACTTTTGGAAATTGCTCAGTCCTATGGGCCTCCAAGGGCCAGGGCCAGGTTAGAGAGGAAGTTAAGTGCTTTAGGTTTGCAGACTCCTCTAAAAGGCACCGATGGATGCATTAAACTTTAAATACCGATATAACCAAATCAAACCACTGCCTTTGAGTCAATTCCAACTCATAGGCAAGAGTAGAGGTGCTCCTTAGGGTGTCCTAACTCGTCGTCTTTACATGAGCGGATGGGCTCTTCTTTCTCCCTCCGAGTTGGCTGGAGGATTTGAACTCCTGGCCTGTGGTTAGCAGCCCAATCCTTAGCTCACCACACCACCAGGACTTAATCATAGAAAGATATTATTTGTTTATTTATTTAAGTGGCACAGTGGTAAGAAGTACTCAGCTGCCAACCCAATTGTCAGCAGTTCAAACCCTCCAGCTTCCCAATGGGAGTTTGCTTCCATAAAAAGGTACAGCTTCAGACACGGGTAGGGCCGTTTGCTCCATTGTCCCGTAGGATAGCTGTGACTCACTGACCATGGGTTTGGTGCAATGGATTGACAGGTCATTCTGGAGGCCCAGTCAATAATGATTTCCCCTAAGATGCTGGTTCGGATGTGCTCTAGCAAACTGCAAGGGTTAAAGTGGGCCTGCAAGAGTTGAGTTTGACATTGAAGAAATTCTATCCTTCAACCATACCCGTTCTAGATGCTGGACTGGGTACCACCATTCCTTCATGATGGCAGAACATCTCTGTCCACGAAGCAATGTCAGAGACACTGCCAATGACATGTCAAACATATGAAGAAGTAGAGAGAGCAGTACCACCGGGCCCTCAGTGCCTCCACCAAACTGCAGCCATGAGCACCTTAGTCGATTTTGATTCATCTGTCATGCCCACCACCCTCGTCCTCTCCCATGATGTTAAAGTAATGCCAGTGGGCCTAGCCTTCCTCCCTGGGGATGGTGTCGTAATTGTTGCCGATTGCTAAGGCACTCTCTGCCGGGAAAGCAAGTTAGACAACCAAGGGGTCCTCTAACCGCGACAAAAATTAACCAAATTCACTGCCATCAAGTCGGTTCTGACTCAGTGATCCTACAGCAGAGCAGAACTGTTCTTGTGGGTTTCTGAGACTGTGGATCTTTACGGGAGCAGGGAGCAGAGAGCTTCATCATTCTCTCTCCGAGTGACTGGTAGTTGTGAACAGCTGACCTTGCATTTTAGCATCCCGACATATAACCCACTGTGCCACCGAGGCTCCTGAGGTAGGCCAAACTGGGAAGTAGCCAAATGGAGCTAGGACTGCAAGGCTATCCAAGCCTGATCACTACACACACACACACACACACACACACACACCACCCAGACCTCCAAAACAAGACCTCTCGGTGGGCAGCTCAGAGCCACAGGGAGTGGATATGAGAGGGTCCAGGCTGTCCAAGCCTGATCACTGTACACACAC